TAGGGACCTGGCTACAGGACCTCCAAGTTTTAGCTCACTGAGAGCCCCTCTTTCGTGGAGAAGCACATTCCTCTGAAGGGGAAAGCAAAACGGCCCCAATCAGCCTCCAGAAGTGAGATGTGTTACTGGGGACAGTAGAAGCCTGATTCACCACCGCAGGCCCTGTAAACCTCCAGGCTCACTTTCCAGCCCCCCTGGGAGAACCAGAAGGGCCAAGGTTGCCTCAGGGCTTCAGAGAACTCTGATCCCTCCCACCCACACATGTTTCTCTAGTCTGGTTAATAAGCAGAGAATCCAGGGGACAGGAGGTCACAGGAGCGGGTCTCCCCGCTCGGCAGGAAATCCCTCCAGGGCACCATCGAGAGATGGTTATGACCCTGCTTGGTCCACTTCAGGGATGGGGAGGTTAGTACCATACGATGAAGTCCCCCTGGGAGATTGGCAGAATAAAAGAATGGAGAACACCAGCGTTGGCAAGGATGTGGGTGGTCTCACGCATTGGTGATGGGAATACAAATTGTTAGAGCAGTAGCGGTCAGAATTCAAAATGTGTAAACCAATTGACTAGGGTCCGAGCCCCATACGCAGACACGATCATGTGTGCGCGCAAAGCTACACACTCACGAATGCTCAGTGCAGCGCTGTCTGTAATAACAGACCATTGCAAACAATGGAAATGTCGGTCCATAAGACAATGATGCCACGCAGCATGAAAACCTATACCTAGTAACCAGGTTAAAAAGATGAGATACATCTTTATTTGCCGAGGAAGAAAAATATACCCGATGTATTAAGCAGATTAATGTATATAATATGATTGCACTTATTGGTTTTAGGGGGAAAAACTCTAAAATTTATAACTGCTCAGCTATACTTCAACATGTGGGAAACACAGAGGAAAACAGCCTCATGATTTATGGATCGTGATCACACAAGAAGCCAGAAGACGGTAAAAACATCAGTTTTCCCATCGGATGGCCCTTCAGTGCCCAGGCAGTCGACCTGGAAGGGCGCCCAGGGCTCTTGTCTCCCTGTCCCCACTTCTCTCCTTCCCCAGGTGGCCTGTTCTGCGTCCCCTGCAGCTCCCCTCATGGTGGCCCCGCCATCCGGGTGCTGAGGAGCCCCTAGGCCCCACGTGGTGTCCGGCACACTGCCCAGGCCCCGGCTGTGCTCTCAAGGAGAGATTTTAGGCTGTTCCTCAGAGCAGTGACTTGAAGGCAGACAGGCATCCCTTTCGCTCACGTGGACAGCCTCTCCTAACAGGACTGCAAAGGGGTACGCCACCTCCTACGTCTCTGTCGATTTCCTCGGTTTTGTAAAAAACCTTTCCCAACATAGAGGAGGAGGAACAAGAATGGTGCAGGTGAGAAAATTTCATCCAGCTGTCTATCTATATGGATGTGTGCGTGCACATCAATACATATGTGTAGATATGTACACACTCATATAAATATACACACACGTGTATCTTTATACAGACTGTCTGTATCTATACAGTGAAACGTCGCTTAATGACAGGGATATGTTCTGAGAAATGCATTGTTAGTTGATTTTGTCATTGTGCGAACATCATAGAGTGTACTTACACAAACCCAGATGGTCTAGCCTATACACACCTAGGCTGTGTGGTACTAATCTTATGGGACGACCGTCGTATATGTGGTCTGTCATTGACTGAGATGTCATTATGTGGCGCATGACTGTACATAAATGCTGAGGGAAAGATCTGGAAGGACACACTCAAAATTGCTATAGTAGTGGTGGGAGGGAGCAGTGATGAACGAGGGTGTTTTATGACTGTATATTATGTTTCATTTAGTTAAAAATGCATCCCTGAATTGCATCTAATTGATAATTAGAATAACCATTTTAAAAGACAAAAAACAAAATTCTATTTTTCTTTAATGTTTCTTGTGATCACACTAAAACCTTCCTGCCTGGCACCTCCACCCATGGGCTCTCTTCCCCACTTCAGTTCCCATCATTCTTGCCCTTACCCGTGGGCCGGCCCCTTAGACGTTTGGGACCCACGAGCAGGCCCACCCTACTCCAAAGCCTCCCCTCTCCTGGACCTCCGGACACGTCACACAGCCTCTTCCCTCAGCCATCCTGGCTGCTCACCACAGAGGCCCAGCATTCACCCAGTAAACTGAGCATTCAGCAAGTGGCGGGCCCTGGCTAGGTGCTAGTTACGGGGGTGCATTCGTTCTTAGGAGGACAAAAACACGTCAACAGTCATATTCAGGTGCAAGGCATGTATGCGATGGGGTCACACAAGGGAGCTGCCGAGCCTGTCTGGGCCATGGGAGGAAGCCTTTCCCCACGTGGCCCCCGGACTAAGCCTGGGGGGATGAGCAGGTGTGTGGGCACTCTGGGAAGAACAAATAGCATTGGCAAAGGCTCAAAAGCACAAAGGACCTTGGCACATTCAGCATGTGGCAAACAGTTCGAGATAACCAGAGAGCAGGGTGCATGTGAGGGCTTTGTGGAAACACCATCCTGGGAAGAATGCAAGATGCAACGTAGAAAGGGTCTCACCAACTGTGACTGATTCTCTGGGCCCCAGAGGGCCCTGAAAGGGTTCAGCCGGGGAGAGATGAATCAGATCAGTGTAGGACAGGGGTTCTCAACCAGGGGTGATTTTGTCCCCCTCCCAGAGGACATGCAGCAATGTCTAGAGACATTTTGGGCTGTCAGAACTAGAGAAGGCAAGTGGCATCTAGTGAGTACAGGCCAGAGGAGCTGCAAGCATCCTCTGGTGCACAGGACAGCCCCTCCACAAAGAATTCTCTGGGCTGAGATGTCACTAGTGCCGTGGCTGAGAAACACTGGTATAGAGGGTGGATAGCTCTGGCAGCAGTGGCGAGGATGGATTGCTGTGTGGGGGTGGGGAGTGGGGAAGGTGTGGGGAGGAGAGGTGGGGGCAGGGAGATCTGATGAAAACGTACAGCAACCGCTCAGATGGGAGATGACAAGAGCTTGAGCTAAGACAGGGCAGTGAGAATGGAGAGAGGAATCGGGAGGTAATATAAGGAGTAAAGTGGTAAAACATGGCGATGGATTGGTTATTGTGATAAGGGGGGTAATACAGTGGGGCTGTTATGATACAGGTTAAGCTACCATAACAAAGTGAGCCAAAAATAACGAGAGCTTAAACAAGGTGGATGTTTATTTCCCATCAAACCTGTAATGGTGGCTTGACTACCGAGACCTCATCTATCTAATTGCTCTGTCATCCTCAATCCATGTCCAAAATGGCTGCTCCAGCCCCTGCCTTCACATTCATATTCTAGCCAAAGGAAAGGCAGGAAAGAGCAAGCAAAGGGCTCAGTCCTTCCCTTTAAAGGCATGCCCTAGAAGCTACACACATCACTTCTGCTCACATTCCATTGGCCATAACTTAGTCATGTTGCTGCCCCTCCCTGCAAGGGAAATGGAGTTTGAGCTGAGAGCCATATACAAAATGAAAACTCTTATAACAATAGAAGTAGGGGTGAGCAGCCATTGGAGGCAATTAGCTATCCATGCCACAGGGGATAAAAGAGAAAAAATGAAGGGAAACAGCCAGGTTTTCGGCATGAGCAACTGAGTGGATAGTGGGTATCACTAAGAGGACCAGAGACCATGGGGGTGGTGGCAGCATGGGCAAGGGGGCAGACTCATTTTGGACAGGCTGCATTTGAGCCCTGTGGGACCACAGTGTGGTCTGTCCGGTAGAGTCTGAAATTAGGTCTGAGCCAGTAGAAGGGTCCGGGGTGGGTGCAGAGGTTCAAGAAGCCACAGATAAAGGGGAGATGGCCCAGAAATGGTGCTTTATCTGGAGTCTGTGAGCCCCACCCATTAGAGCAGGCCTAGGGTCCTAAGAGGAAGATGCAGCCTACAAATTCCCTGAAATTGTGTGTCAAAGTATGTGGACACATGTTCTGCTTGTGCACTTTTCCGGGTAGACAGCTTATGATTTTCATCAGATTCTCAAGGGGCCTGGGGAAGACAGAGGTAAGAGGAGGGTTAAGAATGGCGGCCTGAGACCCCTTGATATTACTGAGGCAGGCAGAGGAAGAGGAGCCAGCTGAAGGGACCAAGAAAGAGCAGTGAGGGAGGTCGTAGGAGCATCAGAACACAGCATTGTAGGGTGGGGGGCGGGGGGAGGGTAGAGTTTAAGAAGAATGTGGTGGTCGATGGATGAGGCCCATAGGGTCTTAGGAAGCCCACGGCAAAGGCATGGTCAGTGGTATGGAGGGGACTGGAAAGAGCAGGTGTAGGAGGCAGGGTCCTGGAGCGAAGGATTAGAGGGAAGGCCAGTTCCAGAGCAGACACAGGGCTCTGTAGGATGGCAGAGGATTAAACACGTCTATAGGCTGAGTGGAAATGTGCAGCAGAGAGAGAGTGGGTGATACTTTCTTCCTGAAACAGGCTCCTGACACCAACCTCAGCACTCGAGAGTGGTCCCAGCAGCAGGCGCAGAAGTGTTCATTGTCACAGAAAGGACTCAAGCTTCTGGAGTGCTTTCTAGCTCTGCCTGTCACTGGCCGGGTGCTGGGGAAGTTAATCCACATCTCCAAGCTTCTTGTCCCCATGGTGCGAACTCAGATAACAACCTGCCTGATGTAAATGATGAAAGGATTAGAAGAAAAATCATGGGTGACATGTCCAGCTCAGGTCCTGATCGCAGTAGATGCTCAGTAAGTGGGAGGACCCTTCTCCCTTCCGCATCCTCCTCTTCTTATAGTATTGTCGCTTTTTAGTTCACAGGAAAAGGGCAGTCTTTGAGGAAACTTTATAACCTTCCTGCTTGTCCCAGAAAGGCAGAATTTGGTCTATTTAAAGTATTGCACATCAGCCTCATGTGGGAAGAATGAAGTCAGAAACACTAAAATTATATAGGACAATAATAATGGGACAAATAAGCAGACAGTCACCTTCTTAAAATCCCCAGTGGCAGCTCCCAGACTCATCTCCATCCATACCCAGTTATTAGTGGTGTTTCTCCAAAGACAAGTGTCACAAGATCGCCCTTTGTCCCCAGCATTCCGTTCCTGATGATGTTGGTGATGTGTTCAGAGTCATGAGTGCTCCAAGGAGGATGTTGGGTCGTCAAGGCTGGGAGCAGGGGGTGGAGGACAAAGGATTTCACACGTGAGAAAGCAATCTTCAAACAAACAACCCAATTAACAGGTGGGCAAAGAACTTGAGTAGACATTTCTCCAAGGGAGATATACCAATGGCCAATAAGCACATGAAAAGATGCTCAACATCACTAGTCATCAGAGAAACACAAATCAAAACCACAATAAGATGCCACTTCACAGCCATTAGGATGGGTACTACCCAAAGAATAGAAAATCGCAAGTGTTGGTGAAGATGTGGAGAAATTGGAATGCTTGTGGATTGCTGGTAGGAATGTAAAATGGTGCAGCTGCTGTGGAAGACAGTATGGCAGTCCCTCAAAAACTTAAACATAGAATTACCGTATGATCCAGCCATTCTGCTTCCAGCTATATACCTGAAAAAATTTAAAGCATGGATCAAACAGATATTTGCGCACCTATGTTCATAGCGGCATTATTCACAACAGCCAAAAGGTGGAAGCAGCCCAAGTGTCCATCAACAGATGAATGAATAAATAAAATATGATATGTACATATAATAGAATATTATTCAGCCTTAAAAAGGAAGGAAATTCTGACACATGCTACAACATGGATGAACTTTGAGGACATTATGCTAAGTGAAATAAGTCAGTCACAAAAGGACAAATACTGTAGGATTCCACTTATGTGAAGTACTTAACGTATTCAAATTCACAGAGACAGAAAGTAGAATGATGGTTGCCAGGGGCTGGGAGAAGGACTGGGGAGTGAATGCTCAGTGGGTACAGAGTTTCAGTTTGGGGAGATGAAAAAGTTCCGGAGATGGATCATGATGATGGTTGCACAACAATGTGAATGTACTTAATGCCAGTGAATTGTACACTTAAAAATGGTTAAAATGTAAAATTTATGTAGTGTGTATTTTACTACACATACACACAAAAGCAATCCTCAGATCAAATTATGCTGGAGAGAGCTGAGGATCACTGTTTAACTGGTGAAATGTTTTTCTATGAAATTAAAAATTAGGCTTTTCTGAAAATACTATCAAAAATAAAAAAGCACAGCAACCCAGTCTCAGTAAGCTAGTTCCTGGTTCACCTGCACATAGACAGGTCATTGAACCCACCCCTGCTCTGGGCTGACCCAGCTCCCCGCGCTCAAGAGGCGTGTCTGAGTCTTTGAGGAAGGCTGGCCTGTTTCTGAGTAATGGGAATATGAGTCAATTTTTCCTCTTCTATAATTTTGACTTTTATATATTTTCCACATTTTCAGTAATTGATGTGATAATTTTTATCTTGAAGAAAACATTCCCATTCTCTATAAATTCTCCATATTTAAATTCTCTATATTTTAAAGACTCCATCCTCCAAGCTGGCCCTGGCCTCAGGGTTTCTCAAGACGGACCTCCACTGCCCAGGCTTAGCCCCCAGAGAGAAATTCTCTCCCAGGTGAGTCGTGCTGGTAGGATCAGTGGGATGGGCTAGGATCACAGTCTACATGAACAAATGTCCCAGCAAACCTATGTGGCTGTCAGCTGGGCTCCCGGAGGGCTCTCTGTTGGGGGTCTGCAGGGGCACACTGGGATGAGCTTCAGCCCTGACCCTCGGAGCTCAGGGGACTGAGACACATAAACAGCGAACTTAAAGTGCCCCAATCTAACATCGGTCCTGACCTCACGCAAGCAGTGTGTCCTGAAAGGAAAGAGGGAAAGGAGGAGGTTGGGCCAGCCAGGATAGATCAAGGAAGGCACGATGCCAGGCTTTGGAGGACGAATGGGATTCTGAAAGGGTTTGAAGGGGTGGGCGGGCATTCCAGGCAAGGGTCACAGGGGAGGCAGAGGCCCAAGGTGAGAATGGGTGCTGTGTTTGCAGGGAGAGAATTTTACAGGTAACTGGATTGTGAAGCCCTGGTATGCTGCGCTGAGAAACTTGGGCTTTTTTCCATAGGTGACTGGGAACCAGGAAGGGTGGTGGTCACTATTGTTTCATTTATTTTATCAAGAGACCAGCCCACCTGGATCGAGAGGCCTCCACATCTGCCTTCTCGTCCCCCCAGCCTTGAGGACAGTCTGAGCCCGACCGGTGGCTGTCCCAGGACCTACAGATTGTCTCAGGTAAGCTGCCAAGTGTGTTTTTAAACATTGTTTTTCAAAGAGCCCATCCATCTTTTCCCCTCAAAGAGATGCAGAGAGTGTGAAAATAGACAGTTAACAGATGGGGGTGGGTAAGGGGGGGAGGCTGGTTGCCGGAAGAAGAGGGAAAAGTTCTCTTTGGCCTAAAGTAATTAATTCAAGTTATATTTAATTGCACATTTTAATATGAGACTTCCAAATTTTATGCCACAATAAAACAGAGCAGCCTTTGAAATGATTAAACTAGCAGCTTCTTAGTGCTCACGGCTGGAGCAGCTTCCAGAGCGTCAACACACCTAATTAAAGGTCAGAGACAAGTGCTGCCAGAGCTGCTGTGCTTTCCTTAATTACTACATGAATGAACAGGTCTGTTTTGAATGCCCTACGTGACTGAAGTTTGCTCAGAAACACAGGGGCACGTGGGCTAAATCCAGGGAGCCCCATTCTTCCCCTGCTCCCCACTTTGAGAAACCTGCCTCGCTCATCAACCCCTCTGCAAATTCCTCTCAGTGGACAACCCAAAAAAGGAATAGGAAAATGCTGTTAGCTAGATAAACAGATTCAAGAAAGACATGGAAGGCTAGGAGCCCAGCACATGGACCTTAGCAAGTCACTTCCTCCTCTGGGTATCAGTTTTCCCATCCATAAAGTGGGGGCATTACACGAGATAACCAATTTTGACAGCCTATTATTCTATGAAAAAATCATAACTTTTACCTCATCTCATCTGATAAAGGAGAAGAAAAGGACGGAGGGCAGGAAGGAGAGAGACAGGCAAAATTTGTTCAAAGTTCATATCTGCATCCACCTTGAGTAATTTCAGGACCTCTTGTTTCCTTGCACTGCCCACCCCACACATGTCAGCACCCAGACCAAACAGCTGTTGAATAAATGCTAAATGAGACCATCCTTCTGGCCCCCTTCCACCGTGTAGGCGCCTAGAGTGAACCAAGATGGCGGCCCCCGTTGATCTGGAGTTGAAGAAGGTAAAAGAGAGTCTTGAGCAGGCAAAGGCGTCTCTTAGGAAGCTGAGGGGACTGTGGGTGAGAATTTCGAGTGAAGCGTGAGTCCTGCAGAAGTAAGGAGGCTCCAGGGGCCTGGGAAATGGTGTCCCCTGGCTCTCCTTAGGCGGGGAAGGAGGCAGGGTCTCTTGCAGGATGGGAGCCCGTTGGGCTGGGTCCAGTTAATGCTGTGGTCAATCGCTGTCTTGTCCCCTTGTTCCCAGCTCCAGAGCCTTTTTCACTGTGCTTGGAGCAGTCAGGGACTCAGTCGCATAGTAAGACCCGCAGAGAGCATTTCAAATTGGAGCCCCTTCAGACGCCTTGCCCGAGCTCAGGCAGCTCTGATTCTGCCTTCTCATTTGCTCTTAAAAACTCCAAGTCCAGCCTGTGTTTTTAGGTCACTTATTCCATCCCATACCTTGAAAGGTCACAGTACCCACGGTTCAGAAAGTCAGACACTCTCGTAGCAATGTTCATCTCAGGCCTTGGCCCCCTACTCCCTTTTCTTAAGGACTTGTCAAAAAAAGAAATAAGTCCAGTAAAGTGTCCCAAATAAAATCAGCATCAGAAGGAACAGGTTTCTCTCCTTGTTCAAACAATTGCTTATAAATGTGTTATTACCCAGAAACGTTTTGACCACCTAAGAGTGGTCAGAGTTCCCACTCCACCGCCGACTTAAAACCTCTGCTTTCTTGGGGGGATTAGGAGGAATAGGGATTGGAAAGGACCCTAGACCTCGCTGAGTTTAAATCTATACTTTTCTAGAAAAGGAAACTGAATTCCAGAAAAGTCTCAGTCCGAGGTTGAGATTCGAATTCGGTATGCTCTGTCTTACGCCACACTTTTTGGCTATTAGTTTATGTTCTTCAGAAGAGCTACATGTTACTTCTTAAGACTGCCTTCTGGTCAACCTTTGCATAAGAAATAAGACAGCTGAAATAGCTGTTGCTCATTAATAAATGAAGCTGTTTGTTATTTCTTGGAAGGGAAAAAAATGCTAAATGATAGGGATGACCCTAGGCTCCACTGTCAGAGCCATCACCGGAATCCTTGGAGTGACAGACTGTACTCTCCAGCATTGGCCATTTCCCTACGGGCAAATTAAGGGAAGTGGCTGGGCCTTGATTCTGACAGCAGAGGACTCTGAAGACGGGATGCCACGAGGGTGCTTGTTACAGCTGGGCACGCAGAACGAAGGTGGAATAAACAAGTGGTTAACAGTATGGATGGAGACCCAGATGACAAAGAGGAGAGAGCTGGCATCAGGGCCAAATAGGGATGACACCTGGGCTCTCCCCCTGCTCTGATCCACCCACCCCATCCCTCCTTCGAGGCGTTTCCTTATATCTAGGCTACAGTCCTGGTCCTCAGGACTGGTGACTCTGGGTAGATCACTTTCGTAGTCATGTCAGGGAATGTGCATCCATCCATCCACCCATTCATCTACTTGTGTATTTATTCTTATCCCTCCTGGCTCCAGAAAGGATTTGAGGAAGCTCAAATAAAATGCAACAAAATAACATAAGTTATAAGCAGGAAGGAAGGAAAACAAAAGTGAAAGACTAAAGGGATCCAGGAGCAAAAGTGAAAGTGTACACCTCAAAATTTGTTTTGTGGTCATTCATCCCACTGTACACGTGTGATTGATGTACTTTTCTGTTTGGATATATGAATGGCAATAACAAAATCCATTTTCGTAAAGGGGTCGACTAGGATGGCATGCAGCTTGGCCCTACTCTTCTCTCTTCCCCCATCTGAAATGCACACATGAGTCTGGAGCTGCGGCAGCCGTGGGACCAGATGCCACAGGTCACAGATGGTGGAGTAAAACAACAGTTGGAATCGGAGACATCGATGACGCTGTGGAGTCCCTGCACCGCCCCTGGATGGTCTGCCTCTGCGCTCATCAGCATGTGAAGAGGACCGTCTCCGACTTGACTAGACCAAGGTCTCGGCGATTCTATTACATGTGGCCAATTGCAATTCTGATCCAGAAGGCAGCTGAAGCCAAGGACTCCATGAAACTGCCTAGGGAGAGAGCAGAGATTGAGAAGGGAGGAGGGTGTGGACAGACGCTCTGGGGGCTGTCGGCCTTTGATGGATGGAGAGGGGAGTCTGAGCCTCCCCTGGCAGGGAAACCGAGGGGAGACAACCGGAGAGGTAGAGAAGGGGAACCTTGCCAAAGTGGGCCACGCATTTGCCTCTAAGCTTTCCAGCAGGCAGTGAGAAAAAGGAAACCCAGTCTGTTCTTACCATGAGATACAAAGACCAGTGGTTGAGTAGGAGGGTCAGTAACGCTGGGCTGGAGACCAGATGAGCATTCCCCCAAGGGTCTTCGCACAGTGGACACTTTGTCACTCAGTCCAAAGGTCCTCAGCAACAACATCCTAACAACAGACGAAGTCATGTGCTTTCAGGGTTTCTTACCACATCCGTCCATGTGAGCCGATGGGATCACCATCAAAGAGGAAGCAAATTCTAGGGAGGGCCCAGTATATGTGGCCCAGACCCCAGCTCTCTGTACCTCTACCTTGTTTAAGGGACATATTTGAGTCTATCAGGAGGAGGCCATGAGCCACAATCTCTTTCCAGCAAAAGTCCCTAAATATTGTTCCTCTCACTGGGGCTTTTAAACAACATTGGTGGCCTTGAGGCCAACCCTACTCTCTCAGCCAAGCGTCCGGGTGCAGGGCTTCTCTCCAGAAAATATAGACCCACCCACGCTGGAGTTGACCCCTTATGAAATGAAGTTGCCTGAAAAGGGAGAGTCTTAAATGCCCAACAAAGGAACCATCTGGTTAATCTGAGCAAAAGCAGGAATTCCTCAGGAAGAAAAGAAGATACCAGAATTGATTTTCAACTGGCATGTAAGTGACATCCCATAACTCCATCTATAAACCATTCCAAAGGGCTGGGCTCTATTTAAGAGGCTGGCACTGCAGGCCTGTCAGGAAGATGATGTGCTTGGCAAGCCGTGCCACCCGTGATGGGGATGGGTCCGTGTGAATCAGCCCCACTTCTCCCACAGGCACCTCCTCAGTGAGGGAGGCCTGGTCGGGGGTGGGGTGGGCAGCCGAGCAGGGACCTCCATTGCTCCACTGGCTCCCTCATCCAATCTCTGAGCTGCCCAGGCTGCTCTGGTCTCCCTGCTGCCTCAGCCTCGGTGATAACTCAAGGGTTGTGTGGTCCAGGAGTCCCATGGAGACAGAGAAGATCCTCGAGTTCACAGAGAAGTCTTCCCCGATACTAGGGGCATGTGGATGTCTATGGCATTGAAAGGAAACTTCTCTCTTTACAGTTGAAAGAACTGAATCCACAGAGGAGGAGAACTTGCCCAGGGTCATGCAGTGAGGGGCACAGCCACGTCACGAGTCCACACACACTCTCTTGCTCTCTGTCTCTATCTCTCTCTTGCTCTCTCTCTCTCACTCACGCTCTCTCTCCAGGAAGTACTTGAACTCAACAGATCTGACCCCAGCTACAAAAGCACCTGCTGGCCTGACCAGCCTGCCCAGATGCTACCAGGGAGAGGCCAAGCATCACTGTCCCATGGGTGCCCAGGGACCTCCCCGATGTACCAAACCCTTACACAGAGCTTTGCAGGTCACAAAGCACTATCTCACCCATGTCTCACCTGGTTGTTCCAAGAACGCCTGTACCCAGCCATCAGCAGGGATGAGAGCGGGGCCGCAGTAACCCAGGGCACCCCTTGTTCTTGCACTAGGAAAAGTGAGATTCCATGCTTGGGGCCAGAGGATGAGCTTTCTCTTTGTGGGCAGGGGCAGCGGCTCACCGCTGCGGACACGCAGGCCGCGTTCCCAGTTAGCAGGGAGCCTTGGGCCCAGCCCAGCACGGACTGAACCAGCAGCTCCAAGAGAGCCTCACCAGGCTCCCCTCCAACCAGGAGTCATGAGAACAACCAGCGCAAACGCGTTTCTGCAAAGCATGGTATGGGCAGTTGGAGACACACGGGGACAGGGACACTGGGCAGGCACTTCCATGAGTCTCCACCTGTTGTGGGGAAGGCCCTTTCTGTAGCCGCTTAAGTGTGAGAAGGGAGATGGGCAGGGTCAGCCATTCAAGTGCAGCCTGGGGGTGGGGGGAGGCACAGGTGATAGGGATGTGTCTTTGAAAGGATAGAGGTAGATGGACAAGGGAGGGAAAGTGATTCGATTCAGGACCTAGACTCTGGGTTCCTGTAGCCTCAGGGTGGGAAGGACCTCCTGGTCCAGACCGTCTGTAAAATGGGGACACTTGGGCTCAGGGAGGGGAAAGAATTCACTCAAAGTCACACAGCTGGGCAGTAGCAGAGCAAGGATTTGATCCCTGGGAGGGGGTCACTAGGTATCTAGATGAAGGGGCACAGGGAGCTGGGACAAAACCAGACACACACTCTGGCCAGGGGCCAGCCCTGTATGGACTGCATGTGAATCTAAGATTGAGCTTTCCCAAAGCAATCTGGGAATATAAAACCCCAGGAGGCCTCTGCAGGCCAGTGAGAGGCCCCGCTCCCTGGAAACAGCAAGCTGTAAAAAGCCGGCTGATGGGCGGCCTGGTTTATGTATGTTTGAGCACGTAGACTGACCCCAGGGCATTAAGCACCCACGCCAACACAATGCCTGCAAATCGTCCTTCCACTCAGCACAGGTCAGCTCACCAAGGCCATGGCCAGTGTCTCCAGTGGCCAGTGCCTGGGCAGCAGGTTACACCCATATCCACCCAGTTCAACCCAGGGCAGGGCCGATTAATCACAGGCCACGTGAGGGAGAAGGGATCTTAAAGAGCATTTACCAGCCTCACGCCTATCTCCACCAAATGCTGGAATTCCTCCCATCTTAGGGTTGCTTGGCCACAGCCCGAACTCCTCCTGAGACAGCTCCCAGACCCACGTGGTTGCCCACTCCAAGCCTGGGCAGCGCTGACCACGTTCTTCCTCGGATTCAGCCAGAATCACCTCCTCGACCCTCATTGTGTTTCCTGCCAGTTGGTCCTCATTCTGTCCCTGGAAACCACATGGAATGAATCCTTCCTCTTCTCCATACCTACTTTTTAACTGGTTAAACACAGTGACCAGCACCTCTGAACGCCCTCTGTTCCGGGATGAACATCCTGGCTCTCACAACCAGTTCCCATACGACCGGACTCCAGTCCTTCACCCAGCTCCCCACTCCCGCCCTCTGTCCTGGTTCTTTTCTACTAAACTCTCTCCACTTGATTAATTGTGGCTCCCCAAGATGGAACGTAACATTCAGGCTGAAGGCCAACATCTCAAATCCTCCTCCTTCTAGAGACCTAAGAAGGTGGCTCCTCCACATGCCCCTTCTCCTTCCTGTCCTCTGTGTTTGGACATGCTGATCTGAGCTTCAGAGACCCAGACAGAAAGGCCGCACTCGTTCAGAGAGAGCAAAGCAATGGGCACCTGTGCTCATCATGAAACGTGTGTGGCAAGTCCTGATCTTTGCAAAACCTTAATAAGGAAGAATATTTAACTCTCTAAAGGGCAATGGGGTCAGGGGTGAAGTCCCCCAACAGCACAGCATGTGTTGGTGTTAACCTGTGTCAGGTCTCATTCTGGGGCCCAGCTTATATGTTACATAGTCACTCAGGTGAGAGTAACTCTGAACCCTGCTGTGCCCTGTACCAGCAGAAAGACCACTTCATAGAGACCTTTTAACCCCAAGAAGCCCAGGTAAGGAGATCCACACATATAGAATCACAGTAAAATGTGCTAGATGCTGTAATTCAGAACGGACATGGGAAAGCTTGGTTTCCTATCGGTGCTGTAACCAATTACCACAAACCCAAAAGCGGTCTCCCTGAGCTAAAATCAAGGTGTCAGCAGGGCTGGCTTCCTTCTCGAGGCTAGGAGAGGATCCATTTCCTTGCCTTTTCCAGCACCTGGAGGCTGCCTGCATTCCTGGGCTCACGGCAACCCCTCTCTCCATCTCCAAAGCCAGCCTCGTTGTGGCCTCTTTAAATCTCTCTCTCTCTACTCCTGCCTCTTTCTTTGACTTAGAAAGACCCCTGTGATCGCACTGAGTTTACCTGGATGATCCAGGATGATCTTCCCATCTCAAGGTCCTTACCCTAACCACCTCTGCAAAGTCCCTTTTCCATGTAGGATAACATAGTCGCATATTCAGAGGGGATTAAGACATGGACATTTTTGGTTGGCATTATTCTGCCCCCAACAGGGAACAACTAACTCTGCCTGTGGGAAGACACATTACATTTCAATGGATCCTTTAAGGCTTTGCAGGAGTTTTATACAGGAGTGCCCTGGCATGAAAGGGAAAAGGGATAGAAAAGAAGTGTGTGCTTCCACAAGGCATAGAAACAAGAAAGCATGGCTAGTTTTTGTCTCTCTCTTTTTTTTTCTTTGACTGCTTGCTTTTCTTTTCCAGAAAGATCCAGGCTCTGCCTGATTGCCTCCAGGGTTGTGAGGCTCACTACCATTCAAGGCAGCTCATTTCTTCCTATCAACAGCTCTGAACAGAGAAGAATCTTCCTTATATTGAACCCTGATGTTTTCATCATCACTGGAAATGTTAATAGATTGCATGGTGCAAAGGAGTTCCTTTATTGGGCTAGAACGGGGTGCTGGGCAGTGGGAGGGTCATGGCACACAGGGGTCTGATACACACAGGAGGTTCTCTGACGCTCATCCTTGGATGGACTGTGTTCCACCTAAACGCTCCTGGGCACGTCGCCAGGCCAATAACTTATTAGAGCGATAATACCATTCCCAAAGATGGACGGTCTACAGAATTTCATTGATGCCATCTCCTCTTCTCCTGTCCTACAAATCAACTGAACTAAGGCTTGAACTAAACTTGAACTAAGGCTGAATTTGAACTTGAGCTTGAAGGGACAACAACTCAGACATAGACATTTTCCATTTCTCTTTTGGTGTCACCGTGAACATAAATTGCTAGGGGTTTGGAACCAGGAGGAGACCCAACTCTCTGCCTTCTGTCCAAGATAAGCAGGCCTTGGTCCGGTGGTCCCTACTGTGGAGGGGGGAGAGGGGAGAGCCCTGGACTGTGGGGCCTGTGAAGGGAGGACAGTGCTGTGGGAGAGGCCTCCCGAGAAGACGCATCCTGCATCCCTGTTATCTCCCGGCATCCTCTGTTGACGTCCTTCGTTCCAGCGTCTCCTCTGTGACAGGTGGCACTATTCTTGGTTATGCTCTGGGGTGTGCAGGCAATGGAGTGGACACCACCTCGCCCTCATGGTGTGCCAACCACAAGGGGACCCTTCAAAGCTGAACAGAGCTTCAGTCTGCAACACATTTTTATATCCATTGCCTTCTTTGATTCTTATAACAACCCAGTGAGGATGGGAAAACTGAGTCAGTGGCAGAGCTGGGACCCATATCTGGGAGCAACTCTCTGCCATTCTCACCATGCGAGGACACCTCCCGTGGGCCCTGGGTCACTCCTGCTGGGTCAGGGCTGGGCCTTGGTCAGCAATGGCCTACACTTAGATTTCTACCTCCTTTCTCACTTTTCCTCTCCCTCTCAACTACCTCTCTCCACATCCTTTATTCTTCCATATTCCTACCTCTTTATTCTCTCTTCTTTTCTCCTTCTTATCAGCCAAGGTTCCCACAGACAATGCTTGGCCCTCAGGGAGCCACACTAGGCCTGAGGGACTAGAACCCCTTGGTGTCTACAACCACAACCATGAGTGTCCGCCTGGTGTTGCGTCCTCCTGATCAGCAGGTCCCGGGTTGGGCAGCTGACCCATGCATACCAGGAGAAGCCATGGGGGAGGAGGCCTGGAATGGCTCTAGGCCAGAAGCCAGGAGACCTGAGCTCACATGACAGCTCAGCCAATTATAACCTTACGCACATTACTGTCCCACTCAGGACCTCAGTTTTTTCATCAGTAAAGTGAGATAATAATACCTACCTCCCAGGGCAGGAGGGTTAGGAAAATTGATGTCATAGTGCCAGGCATGTATGAGATGTTTAATAAAGATTGGTGGAAAGCGGTAGCAGCTGGAACACAGAACCCTCCCAAGGGTTGGACTTGAAAACATCAATCTCTGTGCTGGAGCAATAAAAGGCAGGAGGCAGCTGAAGCATTGGCAGAGGTGGAAGGGAATGGAGGAAGGGTGTCACTGGGCAGAGGCTGTTCATTGTTTTTTCCCCTGGGCATCGCGGGCTCCGGTACTCTGGATCCAGCCACTGAACTCAATTAATGCTTGTCTCTTTATGTTGTTGATAAAATCATCTTGTAACATTCCAGATGCCTAATAAGGGTGTGTGCAGCTACTGGGCAGTGAGTCCTGGAATCTCCCCGCCTTCAGCACACCTTGGTAGTAATGGTGATTTTTAAAAGCTGGGAAGCCCAGAGTGAATTCTCCCAAAACAGACTTGGTCAGTCCCAACGTCAGCAGAGATTCAGAGCCCAACCTGCAGTGGTTCCAGAAAGAGAAGCCAATGACAACACACAGTGGGGGTGCAGCAGGGAGACCCAAAGCGCAGGAGGAACCCAGGACCCAGGACAAGGAAGACCCAGTTTTGCCCAGGGAAAGTCAAAGAAACTTCCAGAGCTGGAAACGTGGAAAATAGAAATGGATGGACTTTCAGTTAAGCATGCAAACGGAACCTACCCAGTTGTCTCCTCTCCCTCCTGGGATCCCACTGAGACATAGGAAAGGAATTGAAATGGTGTAAACCCACATCACAGGGAAAGGGAGAGGATTCTCAGAGGGCTGGAGATTTCAGCAAGTTTATGGAACAGAACAGTGGGAGGTAGGTGAGGAAGAGGAAGCCAAAGCCGGCGTGAGAAGAGAGATCCCATTTTCTTAACAGAGCCCTAGAAAGGCTTGAAAATCGGTTACACCAGGTACAGCGCAGGACAGGTGGGAGATGTGTGCGTAACACCAGGGCATTATGTGAAAGCTGGTCTGTGGAACGGCTGCCGCTGCTTCCATCCCCAGGAAAACAAACAAGTCATTTAAAGAAACTACAAGGTAGGTCCTAGAGAAAACAACCCTCACAAACACTCGGGCTTGCAGAGGTTCACAGTGTAACACTCAACTTGCTGCCTCAGACCCTAAAATGAAGCTCGCCAGGCAACAGCGCTTGCCCGTGTGCACAAAGCTGCCAACATTGGTTACTTTTACTGCCTCACTTTTAAAATACAAACCGATAACCAAGGATTTAAGGGAAGCAAGCGACAAACAACAACAAAAATCTCAGAGAAAACAGATATAGCTCAGAAAGTAGAAAGGAACTTTAAAGACTACAAAATTTTAAACTCTAGTATCCTAAGAAAAATCCAAAACAGACTGCATCCATAAAACAAGAATAAGAGTCTATAAAAAGGAACAGTTAAAGAATAGGGGTTACAGAAATTTAAAACACAATTGCAGAAATTAAAATTTTAATTAGATTGCTGGAAGATAGAGTTGAGGAGTCTCCAGAAAGTAGGAAAGAGAAATTAAAAAGACAAGAGAAAAGAGAAGACAAAAAGGATTAAAGGAAAGGAGAAGAGGTCAGCCCGGTGGCATAGTGGTTAAGTTTGCACACTCTGCTTCAGTGGCCCAGGGTTCACAGGTTCAGATCCTGGGCGTGGACCTAGCACTGCTTGTCAAGCCATGCTGTGGCAGCATCCCATATAAAATAAAGGAAGATTGGCACAGATGTTAGCTCAGCAACAATCTTCCTCAAGCAAAAAGAGGAAGATTGGCAACAGATGTTAGCTCAAGGCCCATCTTCCTCACCGGAAAAAAAAAAAAAAAGGCAAGGAGAGGAGAAAAATTTATCAAGGAAACAGTATAAGAGAACTTCACAAAACTTAAGGACACAAGTCTCCACAGGACTCTGGATGTCTCCAGCTGTGTGGATGGAAATAAAGAGTGATACATGGCACATTATATTGAAACCAGAACGCAAAGGACATAGAGAAGATCCTAAAGTATTCCAAAAAGAAAAAAATGAGTCGACTATAAATAATAACAACAAATTCCCATCAGAAATCTTGGTGGGAGAAGATCATTTGGATTTGGAATTCTATTCCCAACTAAACTAGCGATCGAGTGTGAGAGGAGAATAAAGAAAGACAATTTCAGGCAAGGACTCAGAAAAGAGATGCCCTCTGTATCCCTCTCCTAAGCAGTCATTGAATGAGGGAGTAAACGAAGAGAAAGACATGGAATAGGAAAGAGCAGAAGGAACCAAGGGAAGCCGTGGAGAGAAACTCCAGCAAACAGCTGGGGAGCAGGCCCAGTGGTTTTTAGAAATTCCAGAAAAAGGAAAGATGTGCTTGAAAGGAAATGTAATGTAATGTTTGACACTATACTAAACAATATTTCAAAGGAACAATGACGTCAACTCCTTTTTATTCATTTTCAAGATTTTCAACAATCACTAAAATTTTAATTATGATCAGAGAGTATAAAGGTCATCAGTCTTGACAGAAACTGGAAGGTAGAGGGCAAAGGAGAGCTTGGGACAAAAAGGAGCACTGACGTCAACTTACAGAGAACGTCGTTAGTAGAGACTGTCTATTGTCAATGGAACAAGATATAAAAGTAAAATTTTAAGTCACAAATGTAATCCTTAGATAACTATATGGCACTAGAACTTTAAAGTTGAATCATAGTTGACTACGTTCTGGGCCATAAAACAAGTCTCAAAAATGTTCAAAGAATTGTGATCATACAGACCACAACTGAGTTAGAAATCAATAGTAGAAAGGTTAAAAAAATTGGAATACTCTAGAGTAAGGGGCCGGCCCAGCGCAGCAGTTAAGTTCAAACGTTCTGCTTCTCGGCGGCCCAGGGTTCGCTGGTTTGAATCCCAGGTGCGGACACGGCACCGCTTGGCAAGCCATGCTGTGGTAGGTGTCCCACGTATAGAGTAGAGGAAGATGGGCACGATGTTAGCTCAGGGCCAGTCTTCCTCAGCAAAAAGAGGAAGACTGGCAGCAGTTAGCTCAGGGCTAACCTTTCTCAAAAAAAAAAACAATTGGAATAAAAAGCACACTTCTAAATAACTCAGTTCAAAGAAAAAATCATAATGGAAATGAGAAAATATAGAAGTGAACGATAATAGAGAATTAGCACTAACAGCAATACCACAGGTTAACACGGGCACTGCTCAGAAAGAGGAACTTAGGGGACATTCACATCCTGAAAAAGAAGAAAGAATGACACTTAACAGGCTACGTATCTCACCTAAGAAGTCACAAGGAAAAAAACAACTAAATAGACTTAAAGAAAGTAGAGGTGGGGGGCCGGCCCCGTGGCCAAGTGGTTAGGCTTGTGTGCTCCACTTCGGCAGCCCAGGGTTTCTCCGGTTCAAATTCCAGGCGCGGACATGGCGCCGCTCATCAGGCCATGCTGAGGTGGCATCCCACATGCCACAACTAGAAGGACCCACAACTGAAATATACAGCTATGTACTGGGGGGCTTTGGAGAGGAAAAGGAAAAATAAAATCTTTTAAAAAAAAAAAAGAAAGAAAGTAGAGGGAGGAAATCATAAAGATAGAAGCTGACAATGAATGAACTAGAAAAGAATGATGCAATGGAAAGGTGCGACAAAGCCCCAAGTTTGTTCTTAGTAAAAGCTAATAAAATAGCAAAAATATGGCAAGATTGATCAAGACAAAAGGAAGATGAATATAAACAATATTAGGGATGAAAAAAAAGGACAACTAGAGATACAGCAGAGATTTTAAAGCAAAATAGAAATAAAATCATGAAAAATGTTAGGCTAACAAATTTGAAAACTTAGAGACAAAATGAAAAGTTTCCTAAAAAATACATAATATAACAAAAGTGGGGTAATAGAAAATTGAATAGCTCTATAACCACTGAAAAGAATTAAATCGGTAGTTAAAAATAAACCACACAGACTTATACATTCGGTGGTAGCCAGGCTCCCAACTGGCCCCCAGTGATCCGTGCCTCCCGGTATTCCCACTCAGTGAATACGGTTGACCAATAGGATACAGTGGAAATGATGAAATGTGAGTCTTAGTCTAGACTGTAAAAGACATTGTGACTTCTATCCCAATATCTCTCTCTTGAATCACTCGCTTTGGGGAGTGTCAGCTGCCACGTCATGAGGACACTCAAGCAGCCCTATGAACAGGGTCACACGGCAACGACCTGAGGCTTCCAGCCATTAGCCAGCAAAGAACCACCAACAACCATGTGAGACGCAGCTCCTGCAGCCCGTCATGATGGCCACAGTCCCAGCCAACATTCCAATGATAACCCCATGAAAGCCTGAGCCAGAACGGCCCACTTAAGCTGCTCCCAAATTTCTGACCCTCAGAAACTGTGAGATAAAACATTTTATTGTTTTAAGCCAATAAGATGTGGGGTATTTGTTCTGCAGCAGTAGATACACGTTTACCATAAAACCAGGCCAAGGTGGTTTTAGAAGGGAGTTCTAGAATACATTCAACAAAAAGAGAATCCCATTTTTTACAAACTGTTCCAGAAAGATTTTCCCCACCCATTTTATGAAACTGTATAATTTGGATTATGCAGTCAAAATCAAGATATTATTTTTTAAAAATTTACAAGAGAATCTCATTAATGAACAGATAATAAAAGTTCTAAACAAAACATTAGCTAACTGGATCCAGCGATGTATTTTTCTTTCTTTCTTTTTCTTCTTCTCCCCAAAGCCCCCCAGGACACAGTTGTGTATTCTAGTTGTGAGTGCTTCTGCTTGTAGCATGTGGGACGCCGCCTCAGCATGGCCTGACGAGCGGTGCCATGTCTGTGCCCAGGATCCAAACCAGCAAAACCCTGGGCTGCTGAAGTGGAGAGCGCAAACTTAACCATTCAGCCACAGGCTGGCCCCCAACAATATGTTTTTAAAATGCATAACCAGCTTGGTTTACTTCAGGAATGCAAGAATGAACTTATTTTTCAAAATCTATAAATTTTATCCATCACTTTACCTCAGTGAGGGAGAAAAACTGTATGAGCATCCTAACAGATGAAAAACATTTTTGATAAAATTTAACAACTATTCATGATTTAAAAAAATGCTTAGCAAACTAGGACTAGAAATGTCACATCTATTTATGAAACATTAGAGGCATTTAATTTACAATCAAGATGGTTTTAAGGATGCTCACCATCACTATTTCTATTCAACGTGGTATTGGAAGCTTCAGCAACTGCAGATAAGATTTTTTAAAATAGAAAAATAAGTAAGTAAAAGGTATAAGGGTTTAACAGGAAGAAACAAATTAAAATTATTGTCAGATATAAGATAATTATGTGAAAATAAATTCCATTTCTATGTGTTGGTAGGAAACTATTAGAAAATGTAATTTTTTAAAACAATATCACCTATAATAGCAACAACAATTCAAAAAAGGGGGACGATACCTAGGAATAAATCAAACAAAATCTGTGCAAGATTTTTATGAAAAAAATTCTGAACCTCATTGAAAGATTAGAAAAGACCTAAATAAATGGAAGGATGAACTATGTTTACAGACAAGTGCACCGGGTATTATAAAGACTGCAAATTCTCTCCCAAATTAGTTTACAAATTCACTGTGATTCCTATCAGAATGCCAGCTGGGTTTCTCAGTGGAGCTTGACATGCTGACTCTGGAGTGGGCATAGAATTGCAAAGGGCCCAGAAAAGAAGAGGCTGTCCCAAAGAAGAACAAGGCGGAGTGGCGACCCCATACCAAGAACTATTACAGCTACAACGATGAAGGCAGTGACTGTGATATAAGACTAGACAAACTGGCCAATGGTTTAGGCTACAGAACCCAGAAACCAACCTATGCACCTATGGAAACTCGATAAATGACAGGGCGGCTTCACAAAGCAGTGGGAGAAGGACGGACTAGGTGAAAAATGGTCTGGGACAACAGGATATACATTTGGGAAAAATACAGTTGGTTCCCTACATCACACCATATACAAAAATAAATTCCATGTGCATTAAAGACCTAAATGTGAGAAACAAAACTTTACAACTTTTAGAAGAAAATATAGGAGGCTATGTTTATGACTCGAGAGTAGGAAGAATTTAAGACTTCTTTTAAAGTACAAACTATAAAGCTGTAACGCTGAATTTGACTAGAGGGAAATTAAAGCTTCTGTTCCACAAAAGACAGCATAGATAAAGTGAAATAAGAAGGCACAAACTGAAAAAGGATAGCTGCAAAGCAAATAATTTACAGAAGATTAGTGTCCAGGATATGTAAAGAATTCTCACAAATCAACAGGAAAAAGACAAGATGCTCCATTATAAACAGGTCAATGTCTATGCACAGATAATTCTCAGAAGAAATCTGAATGTTCGATAAACATTTCAAAATAAGTTCAACTTCAGCAGTTGTCAGGGAAACAGAAGATAAAACAACGAGATAGGATTTCATAACCATCAGATTGACAAAATTAAAAATTCTGACATTATCAAGAGTTGGGGAGGATATGGAGTAATGGGAAATAAAAAGAAAAGAAAAAACAGTGGGCATAAATGTCCATCAACAGGAGAACAGATACACTGTGGTATCTTCATTCAATAGAATATTCACAGCTATTAAAATGAATGAACTGGAGCCAGATGGTCCATGTGGATACATCTCAAAAATGTCAGCGTAGAAAAGAAAGTTGAAGAATGCTACATGCAGAATGGCATCATTTATCTAAACTTTGAAAACAGACAAAGCATTACATCAGCTTGTTCAGAATTGTAGACACATGTAGTAAGAGTATAAACACACCAGCATCGGGACGCAACACACCAACTTTAGTGGGTAGGCTACGTCTTGGGAGAGGACAGGAAGGAGACTTTATCCATCAACTCAACTTTATTTGTCGTGTTTTTTCTGTTATTAAAATATCTGAAGCAAATACAGCAGAGTATAAAGGTTGTATAAAGCTGGTTGAGGCTCCAAAGTTGTTCTCCAGACTTTTTTGAACATTTGAAGATAATGGCCAAGAGTTCGGGGGAGATGTTTTAGTTGAAGGGGACACCAAAGCCTAACTCCATGGAAGCATGTGCTTTGGTTTACCCACTGCTCCATCCCTCCCCTGAGAAGAGTGCCTGGTACAAGGAGGGGCTCAGCAAATACTTGCTGAATGAATGGACGTATGAAAGGCATTGAGACATGTTAGGACACAGTGTGTTCTTAAGGAGCTAGTCATAATAGTAGCTGACGTCTACTGAGCGCCATATGAACCAGACACTGACTTAACTCTTTAGCGTGTCATTTCGTCCTTGCAACAACAGTGAGGACCATTATCATCCTCACTCTACAGATGAGGAAACAGAGGCTTAGAAAGCTAGGTAGCTTGCCTGAGAGCATAGTGGTTAGGACTAGAGTTTATATTGCATCAAAAAATTCTGGGTTTTATGCTGTAGGTAGTTGCAAAATTTGAAGCAGTGGAAATAAATAAGACCAAGTCGAGCCAAAGAACCCACAGAGCAGGAGGCACATAAACATACACACACCCTAGAGTGAAGGGTGAGCAGGAGCAGACGGGGGTGGGGAGGCTGCCTGGTGCCCAACAGCCCGAGAGGTGGGCACCCAGCGGGGAACTCTTCTGTCTGCCTGGGCAATCAGGGAAGCCTTTCCCAGGAGGAGATATCTGAACTTGGCCTTGAAGGAGAGGTGCATCTACAGATGCCAGGAACCCAGGGATTCGTGCTTCACCTCCAGTTGGTGTTGTTCAAGGATCCACTGCTCTGGACTCGGAGGACAGAGCCTGACCACACAGGGCTGAGACCACCCACAGGTGAAGACAAACTGGTTTGAATGAAATCTCCAATTTGAGAAAATTTGCTCTCATCTTTATACACACAGAGAAAAAATCAGCTCAAAGCTCTTCTTTAGCAATCATGACAGGAGTAATAATTACTCACCCTTTAATAAGAGCTAACACTTACTGAGCATTTATCGTGTACAGCGCACCGGGCTAAGTCACCACAGGCTTCATGGTCCTTAATTCTCTCAACCACTCTACAAGGCAAGTGCTGTTTAGCCCTTTCCAGAGATGAGAGAACCAAGGCTTAGAGAAGTTCGCTGTCTTGCCCAAAGTCCCATGCAGTTAGGAAGTGGTGGAGCCGGGATTTGAACCCACCGTTCTCAACTCTCCAGCCCATGGTTTAACCACGGCGTCTCACAAGCACAGACATCCAATTAAAGCAACAAGGGTTTTACTGCTCTCAATTGGAAGAATAAATGAGAACGTGATCCCTGTATAATAAACTAGAAACCAAGCTGATCATTACATTCACGAGCACCCGTCACACGTGAGGTGCTCCATAAACGCTTGTGAAATGAGGTAGCGTTCAGTTCCAGGAAATGAAAGCCAACCCAGTGTCAAAATGACACACTTCACCCCATGAAGGAAGCAAGCAGAAACTCACAGACCACGCAAACGTGCAGAGCAGGTCTTCGCAGGCACACACTGGGCCTCTCGGAATCAGTGGCCCCTCCCCACCCCACACTCAGCCCTCCAGGCCAGCTCCCAGTCCTCCCTTGCATCTCTGTGTCCTCCCCCTACTCCTGCTCCTTGGCACTCGCCCTTGACTACAAGCTGTAATGGCTTCTGTCACTGGGTGCTGAGCTCCTTGGGGAAGCCGTATGTTCTTTATCTCTCCGCCTGTCACAGAGTGGGACGCCTCTGAAAATACACGTGGATGAATGGAGTCATCCAAACAGCCCACAGGTCAGAGATACGTAAAGTGAGAAAAAAACAGGATATTTGAAAGAACTGGAAAAGTTCTGCTTTTCAAATAAAAGTAGATAAAGAAAATCATTCATCCTTTCCCCCAGGAAAGGACACCATTGCTTGGATCATGTGTGTTCCCTTTATTCATGGCACACACATTTACCAGACACCTACAATGTGCAGGAGATGGGCCCTGGCCTGGAGTTGGCTGGCTCATTTGCACCCTTCCTCAGTAAATACTGAAGAGCCCCGTCTCCACCAGGCACGGTGGGCACAGGATGGGCCAAACACAGCCTGAGCTCCTGTGTACCGAGGGGGTACACAGTAGTGAGGGAGAAAAGGCAGAACTGCAGCCACAACTGGCAAACGTAAAGATTACCTCCCAGGAGAGGGAGGGATGAGAAGGGAGACCTGGGGGGGGGGGGGGGGGATGGAGGAGTAAAGAGGGGGAAGGCAGTGAGAAGGGAGAGGAGGTGAAGGGAGAGCAAGACAGCAGCCCAGTCTATCTGGATTCTCCCCAGAGCCACATCTGACAAGATTCTGGTCACATTTTAATTAATCGCAAGGTTTTCCCATTGACTCAATACTCAAGAGCTCTATCTCTGATTAGTTTTCGAAAGAGCCCGCCGAGTTTAATCATAGCAAACACAATGATGCCAGTTATTATGGCCTGAGTAACTAAAAGCAGAAAATAAAGAGCCCAGAACAGGCTATGGTCTTGATGCTTGCCCTGGGCAAGCGGCTGGGCCCGTGCCCAGGGTTCTGAGCTCCTAGGCACCCAGGCAGGGTGGGTGGAGGCCGCGGGCAGGGCCGGCTGGGTGGGGGCTGCGGAGGAGCTGTCAGCGGGAGAGTAGGGAGGCGGGCCCCGGGTGCTCGGGCACCCCAGGTCACCGTCCCCCAGGGCCAAGAGCGGCCGGCCGGCGCGCTGCCCCGGGCCGCGACAGCGCGGGGGCTCCACTCGGCTCACGAGGCCCGGGTGCTGCCGCAGCCACTCCAGGAATGGCCCGAGGCCACAATCGCAGCGCCAAGGATTGTGCCCCAGCAGGACCTCCGTCAGCCGGGGCAGAGCCTCAAACACGTCGCCAGCCAGGCTCTCCAGCTGGTTGTGGTCGAGCTGGACCTCCTCCAGGCTGCTGAGGTTGCGGAAGAGCGCGCGGGGCAGGGCCCGCAGCCGGTTGTGGCGCAGCGACACTTGGCGCAGCCTGCGGAGGCCGCGCAGCAAGCCGTCGGGGAGGGAGGCCAGGCTGTTGGAGCGCAGCGCGAGCACCCGGAGCTCGCCGAGGCCTCGGAAGGCGCCCTCTGGGAGCGCGCTCAGAAGCGGGCTCAGAGTCACCCCCAACACCCGCAGGCGGCTCAGGTTGCGGAAGGCGGCGGCTGGCAGGGTGCGCAGCCGGGTGCCGTTCAGCCACAGCTCCTGCAGGCCGGCCATCTCCCCGAAGAGCACCTCCGGGAGCTCTTCCAGCGGGTTCTCGAACAGGGTCAATAGAGTCAAATTGTGCGAATGAAGAAAGAGAGCAGAGGGCAGGAATTCGAGGTGGTTTCTGGAAAGAGTCAAATAGCTCAGGTTTTGGAGCCGGTCGAAGGCACCGGGTGCGATGAAACGGATGTGATTTCTGTCGAGCTGCAGCTCGATCAGGGCGCGCAGGCTGTTCAACAACCCCGAATCCAGAGAGACGAGCTGGTTCGAGTGGAGCAGAAGTTTCTCAAGCTTAGCCTGTGCCCCAAGCAATCCCTTGGGCAGGTGAGTCAAATTGTTTCCCGATAAATCCAACAATTTCAGGTTCCCCAGAGTTGTGAAGAGGCTAAGAGGAAGGAAAGCGAGTTGATTTTGGTTCAAAAAGAGCTCCTGCAGGTTAACCAGTTTCTGAAACATGTTTTGGTCAATGACCTTTAGTTCATTGCGGTCCAAAAACAACTGCTCTAGGAGGACCATCTTATCCAATAGCGCGCCTGGAAGATGAGTGATCTTGTTGCGGGACAATCTCAGGGTTTTTAGTTTTATCAGGTCATCGAAGGTGCCGGGGGCAATGGCGGAAATGTGGCTGTCTGACAGCATCAGGCGCTGCAGGACGGTCATACCACTGAAGCTGTCATTCCGCAAGGCGCCGCGGCTCATTCGGGAGAGCAGGATGAGCGTGAGGTTGGTGGGCAGGCCGAGCGCGGCGATGCGCGCCACGTCGCCCCCGGAGCATTGCGCAACGTCCCGGAAGGCACACTTGCAGGCTGGTGGGCAGGGGAAGGGCTGGGCGCGCAGGAGCCCGGGCGCGCAGGAGCCCGAGCACGGCGCACAGCAAGGCGCTCCTCAGCATGTCTGAAAAGGCAAGAGCGGGAGGTCTAAGGGCAACACGCAAGGGAAAACGCTCATCTTCGGTCTTGTAACCCTGCGGGGGAATGAGCCTTTCGCCAGGATCATCACTGACTTTGAATGGTATCCAGATACAAAGTCGCCCTCTTCTTAGGAGCGTACGTTTTCCTGGGTAGTGAGAAGACATTCCTTCTACACTACGAGGTCTCATTCCTTCTTTTGTTTTACTGATTTTCTGCCTTCAGTTTAAAGCATTGAAATTGAAGTGTTTTCAAGCTATAGAAAAGTCAATACTTCAGAATCGTTACATGGCGAGAATTAAAATAATTATTCTCACACTCAAGCTGCAGACATCACTGAGCAGTGCCCACTGTGAAAGCAGCCCTGCTCTTGACTTATCACTCACCCAGGGCTGGCCATGACCAACAGCCGTGAAGGGAACTGCGAAGTCTGCTAAAACAGCCACCCCCACCTGATGCCTTTGATCACAACTACACCATAGGCGCAGTACTGACTTACTATACTAAACAACGAACACCCCACAATAGTGAACACCCTGTTAGCCACGCTGAGAAAAGCAGGTAACATCCCGATCACTTTATGCCAGGCCTTGTTCTCTGGGCTTTATTTAAATTAATTCATTTAATCCTTACAATAACCCTATGAGGTAGGTGCTATTATTATCCCCAATTAAAAGAGGAAGAACCTAAGGCACAGAAAGGCTAAGTAACTTAGCCAAGGTCACAGAGCTAGAATTTAAGAGTAGTACTTCTGATTGAGCCATAAAAAAGGAGCTATCATTTCTAAGATGCTTAATTAAAAATTAATACTCGTGACATTGAATTATTTGTGAAATACGCATAGTAATACTAATCTACCAAAATAATGTTTCCCAAATGTAATTTTGCACAAACCATTTCTTGTACTAAATTTTATTTCGTACGCACGCACAGGCCGACAGAGCCCTCCAGTTGCCCATATTTTAAAAAATATTTGGCCTTACCTGCAATGGTGCTGCACCCCAAAGCAACTGAAAAGCTTAGAGCTTTGCCTGTGACTCGGCACTTTCCAAAGGAAGAGGAGGTATCCTTGCATCCTGAGGATAAAGACTGCACCAGAAAAACAATCATGGAAAGGACCCTATCTCAGAGGGCGTATTCCGGTTCTTAATCACAAATATCTTCCAACTGAAAAAGAAACCATATACAGCCTAAGTCCTACTATCAAACTGGTAAAAGCAGGAGGGAGAGAAGCTTCTCCATAAATGGCACAATACGGCTCTGTGATGCTAGAAAAGTTGAATGACACAGTCGGCTCATTGCAGCAGCCTCGCCCCCAGAGGGCCACCCTTCCTTTGGGTCTTTCTTTTCATGCCACATTGCCCCAATTCCCTACTCCAGGACCCCCCGCCCCCCTTGTATGAATACTAAGGCTAAGAACATTCTTAAAAGCTCCATTTTTTTTCTTTTTAGGAATAATAAGGCTAAAAATATCCCCAAATATGTTCAATAATGGCATTCCTGGATTGAAGGATGCCACATGCTCACTTTAACTTAGGAATGTCCAACTGCTTTCCAAAGTAGTGGTACCAATATATAATGCCACCTGCAGTGTATGATAGTTCTTGTGCCTCACAGCTCTGTCCACACTTGGAATTGATTTTTTTAATTTAATTTTTGCCGCTCATATGAAATAATTGTCTGTGTGGTTTTAACTTTTCATTTTCCCATTTAATTATAAACTTGAGCATCTTTCCCTATTTTTAAGAGCCATTTGTGCTTCATCTTCTGAGAAATTTGGGTTCTTTTCTTTTGCTTATTTCTCTACAAGCAAAATGTTTGTCCTTTAAAAAAGTGAATTGTAGGCATTCTTTATATATTCTGGATACTAATCCTTTGCCAGTTATAGGTGTTACAAATATCTCCAACTAGTTTGTGGTTTGCCTTTTCACCTTCTTTATGATGTCTTTTGATGGATAGATATCTTGATAGGGGCAAAATTATCAATCTTTTATGATTGCATTTTTTGTGTCTATTAAAACAAATCCTCGGGGGTTGGCCCCGTGGCTGAGTCGTTACATTCGACCCCTCCACTTTGGTGGCCCAGGGTTCGGATCCTAGGCGCAGACATGGCACCGCTCATTAGGCCATGTTCAGGTTGCGTCCCACATGCCACAACTAGAAGGACCCACAACTAAAATATACGACTGTGTACTGAGGGCATTTGGGGAGAAAAAGGCAGGAAAAAATAAAAAATCCCCTGCTCCCAACACAGAAAAATATTCCCCTATCATGCTTTAAGTTTTATAGGTTTGTCCTTTGCATTTGGAAAGTTCCTGGAATTGACTTTTGTGTATGATGTGAGTTGAGTCCAATTTTATCTTTTCCCATGAGGATAAGCAGCTGTCTTAGCCCCATTTATATATATAAACCCCTTCTTCCCTCAGAGCTACAATGTCAGCACGGTCGTGAGCCAACATCTCGTGAATGTGTGGGTCTGTTTCTGGGCTATTTGGTAACCCTGCACCAACACCACACTGAAATAACCTTTTGAAGTTTAAAGACTCAAAATATCCAGTGTTTTATGAAGTGTGAAGAAGCAGACATTCTCATACTACAGTACTTTTGGAGGAAAATTTAGTAGTATCAACCAAATTTCAAATACACTGGTGGTGTAGTGGCTAAGTTTGCGTGCTCTGCTTCCACGGCCTGGGGTTCACAGGTTTGGATCCCAGGTGCAGACCTAGCACCACTCATCAAGCCATGCTGTGGTGGCATCCCACATAAAATAGAGGAAGATCAGCACAAATGTTAGCTCAGCAACAATTTCCCCAAACACAAAGAGGAAGATTGGCAACAGACGTTAGCTCAGGGCCAATCTTCCTCACAAAAGGAATATATATATCCTTTGTCCAGCAGTTCCACCACTAAAAATATACTCTATGGATATGGTGCAGAAAGACACTTATTGCAGAAGTGCTTGTAATAGGGGGGAAAAAATGAAAACCTAAATGCTCATCATAAGGGAAGTAGTCATTTAAATTAGGGTACATCCATGCAACAGGATGCCTTTCACGGCTTTAAAAAGAATAGAGTTGAGGTGCAAATGCTGGCATACCTTTCTAAGACATACTGAATGACATATAGCGAAGGCAGTGTAGCACATAAAATGGTATTGTGTAGCATTTTAAAAAATATATTTATATGAGGATATATACATAAATATTTTTCTGGAAGGATACACCCAGGAAACTTTAGTATTCACCTTTTGGGAGAGAAATCAGGGAATAGGTAGACTTCCTTATATTTATATATCTTTCTATGAGGTTTGAATTTTTATTAAGTGTGCTTATATCACTACTAAGAGATTTTAATGCAAAATAAAGTGATCTGGGAGGGAAAATGGCATCATTTAAGAGAAAAGGTAAGAATGTGGGCATTAAAAAAATACTGGGGAAAGTCAATGCTTGATTTGTGAAAGAACAAACACTAAGCTCTGGCATTACTGAGTGGAGTGGTACAGCAAAACTGGTTCTTAGTTTACCCTGGTTGGGAAAGCAGTCCCCTGAGCCATGACATTTGCAGGTGTTGTAGAAAAGACACTGAAATCCAATCAGCCTTTGATGTCACCAAATGCAGTCAAAGCCCAGTGAATGCTGAGCTGACGGAAATTACCTTTGAAGCCGTGCAGCCCTAAGCCACAGGGAAAGCCGCGGCCTCTGCCGGGGATCGTGGGAGGGCTCTTTCAGCTCTGATCAAGGGAAGCAACTCCAGAGCCCAGAGCAGCTACTCTGACGACCTAGCGAGTCAGCCGTGCACACCAAGTGAAAGGCTCCTCGCCCACAAAAATGCCAGGGAGCCAGAGTGATCAAGGGACTGGGAAGGAGTGCCGTGGAACACTTGGAGTAAAACTTCGAGTCAAGTTCTGGTGAAGCTTCCTTGCCTGTTTCCCCAGGAAGAGCTCCCATCAGAACGGCCTCCAAGTTTTGTTCTCTGAAGAGACTAGGACATTCTCACCGCCCAGGAAGGGAAAACTGGGTATGGAGGTTGTGGTCACTGGAGAAGCACTGTGAGTCCATCCAGTGAATAAGTGGACAAGGTATATTTTGAGCAATGAAGTTGAGGGCTCCTGTGTTTCAGGTCCTTCAGATTTTGGATCCATGAAATGGCTCAGAAATCTGCTGTCCCAAGCGGCAGCTTGTGTGTGAAGGCAAGGATCCCTGGCCTATGGGGTCTGGCCATTCAAAGGCAGGTGTCTGCCTGAATGAGATATGCTTTTCTCTGCCGTAGGGGAGACTCAGAGGCCACGCCACAGCAGGACCTCTCTGCACTTAGAGTAACCACAACCCCAGCTCTGAACAGTGAGGTCTCCTTCAAGCTCCTAGAGCCCTCTCTGTCCTCCCGCAATATACACTCAGAAGGCGGCTGGCGATGACATAGGGGGAAGAGGAAGAAGAAAAGCAGGAGGCTGTCGGGTGTGATCATTTGCTCCACAAACCAGTGAATGGAAACAACTTGGGCTCCAAGTAGGCCTTCACACCAGCCACTCCACCACCCCACACAGCCACACGGCCCACATGGAAGACACAGCCCTCCTGCAGAACCCACGATACCAGGATAGCATGTCTTACGTGGCATAAATCTTGCAGTTTTATCTTCCCAATTATCAATACATAAGTCCCTAGTATTACATTTCACCCTTTCCCTCAGACCTCCTGACACAACATTTGGCTCTACATTGATTCTGACTGATGGGTTCCACAGGATGGTCACAGACATGATGTGATATGTGGAATGCAGTCCTTATTTTCTTCAAAGTTAAAAGAAAGAAAGAAAGAAATGGAAAAGTATTAAACAGGAAAATAAATCCAGAGAGGGCAGTATCCAAATAACTAAAAAGTAAACAAATGTATAAAGACATAGAAAAAAAGAATTGTGATTTCATTCATTTAAATTTTTATTTTGAATAGCTTCAATCAAAAAAGATTTCATAACGTTATTTACAGCGCTGAATGTACAATTATGACATATGCCTTTTTGACATCAGGGTACCATTCTTGAGCAGCAATACAATTTTAAAAATATAAAGATGCAGTATCATTTCTGATATAAAGTTACTTTAAAAAAAATCCAAAGTCTTAGGGAATTCACAAATCATAACAGGAAATAACTATTAATTTAATGTGCACATAATTACCAAACTTTAATACATTAAAAATATGTGTAAATGCCCACAGACTATACAAAAATTAACATCCCACATTTTGTTAAAAGTCCCCAACCACCTCCCACCATAAATATACAAAAACCTATTTTCAGATATGCATGCATGAAATCTTAGAATGTTTTCTAAAGTTTGAATTTTGCTCTTCTCTGGATATTGTATCTATAGCCGTTTTTGGAACAGAATATATAAACACTGATATATTATTTACCATGCCTTGAAACTGCGCAGTATTTTCATAAACATGGGAAACAAAATAAATAGAGTAAAAACTGCGACAGTTTTGCTTAAAAGCAAGTGCAATTTGGAAAGTTTCGAATGTAAGGATTATAAAACTAATACAAAAAGTATTTATTTTGTTGTTGGCTTAGCCACTTTTATTCAAGCATTATTTGCAGCATTGCTTTACAGCAGTTGGTGCCAGAAGATACAAAACATATAGTTACCACTATTTATATATTTAAGGGAGAAAAAAAACTTTAAACAACCCTGAGGGAGACACACATTAAAAATCCTGTTATTCATTTAAAAAGTTAAAAAGTTACATATCATTATTTAACAATTACTTTCCTGGACACTTCTGTCCTTTAAGTATGTGCATAAATAAAATTTAAATCGGCAATATTTATTCATCTTAATACATCAAAATAATATATGTACACATTTTAAAATTTAGGTCTGTATACACTCAAATAATTTAATGTGAAATTCAGAACCAAAATTACTACGTAATGGTGACCTACAGAGAGAAGATTCAGTCTACCTATGGCACTGAGTAGGACCCACACCTGGATTCACAGATATTCTTCAAATAACATTCTGGAAGCCATCAGTTACATATGAGCAACCCACCTCATCTACGCTCAATTCTACCTTCCTAAATGCTTTTCCACCTACCTAAAAAACTCATTCCTTTGAAAACAATATGGACAGATGAGATATAAAACTCCTATAAAATCTGAATGTTAAAAAAGGGGGAGGGTGTCAAAAATATAGTTCTTGTGATTATGCTCTTAAAGATGTTAAATACAATCTGATAACTGGATTTTTAAGCTGCTACTTAGCAATTACTTTAATTATATGCTTCAGTATTTAAATCAAAGAATAAAATTTACAATTCTGGGAAATTACTGAAGAATAACACTTGTACATATTGAAAATCAATGTGAAAACTATAGAATGATCAAGAGAATAAGTAACTATAGAAAACAGTGCTAATTCACAGCTCAAGAGGTCTAAGATGCATAGCTTCATAGAATCATTCATGGAACAACTGTTCTTATCTAATGTTATCAATATTGTATCATACTTTCTGATGGAAAACTTCAATTATATTTTTGTAAGAATCATCAGTGGCAATAGCAATTAACAGTGATCCTGAGTATAACTTACATTTTTCTACAGTTACCAAACATCATTCAGGTCTCTGCAGCATCAGCAATGAGAACCATTTGGCTCTACCGTTCTGGGTAACATTTGATAAGTTGGTAAAAAATACAGCAGGAAAATAATGATCAGCTAGTGGAAAGCACAAGCATGCTACTGGTTAAGGAGGAACAGAGGATAATGTCACAGAGTTCTAACAGTTTAGTATCCATGTTACAGCAATATCAGTTTCCTTGTTTATCATAACTGTGGGCTTTGCCAAACTGCAGGATCTTACTAGAAAGGCATTTTAAAAGATATTTTAATTTTGTTTAGAATTTAAACACTAACTAGGCAAAACAGAAAGGTGAAAAATATTTTCCACATTTCTTTTGGCTCAATGAATGTCTCTTCTTTAACTTTATTTCAATTTTTTTCTCCCAGAAATTTCCACAACCAAATACCCTCATTTGTAAACATTCAATTCAAAATTGGTACACTCTGACCTCTGGTGCCACCTAGT